CCCCCCCCCCCCGACCTACCCCCCTGGCCGACCCGCGTGCAGCCCTCGCACGCTCGGCGTACACGAATGCGCTAAACTGATCGCACTGTATAGAATCGCGAGCGGACCTATATTTGCGGTTGTATATCGCCGCCACTTTACAGGGTGTTTTCGACGACACGAGCGTGGAAGTGATGTGTGCGTAAAGAGCGATTCAGGAATATCGCGCGCTTTCTCGAAATTCCAGGTCTCGGAGGACGGATTGAGGTGAATAATATATTTGCGCCTCGATGTTAAAACACTGATATTTTTAATCAGACACATTGGGAACTTGTGCAGTAAAGAACGATTTTGTTAAAGTATCTAAAAATTTTGCCAAAAGTAATTTTGTTGGATCATCAAAATAATTACGTAAGGTGATCAAACTGGTTACTAGTATGTCCACATTTTTTTGCAGCATTGCTCATCATGCTTGAGTTTTCTACACAAATATTTTGATGGCCGAACAAAATTATTTTTCAGCTCTGTATCCAGTTAAATTTTTAGAGATACTTCAGTAAAGTTGTTTTAAACGTTAGTTTGAATAAAGTTTCAGTTGGTTTCACAAAGAATGGATTAAAGAAATAAAAAATTTAACAAAATACGCGCTATTGTAAAAGATGATATATAAGTAAAGCCTTTTTTTTCACAAGTAATCGATCTCTCGTTTTTTGTCATAAAATTTGTTATATTTTGAAAATATTATCGAAAAAGTTTTAATATATATGATTTATGAATGAACTCCACTTGAATTAACAATTAAAAGAATGTCTACGTGACAAATAACGAGAGAAATGATTAGGAATGATCTATATTTCAGGTATCGAGTCAATTAGCAATAATGAGTGCTCTACATTAGTAGTTCTATACTGACACGGTTGTGCTAAAGGCAAATATGAAAAATTAAAGGCGTTTTACGATGCGGTACGCAGACTAATTATGATTGCTCATAAAGTGCGGTGATGAAAGGATCGGCGCGGTAGGCGTGACTATAAGGACTAGCCTTGTATCCTTAATTGTTGCGTTGGTCCTTCTTTCGAATCCTTCTAAAATGAGTCTATATTATTTACAAGTCATTCCCTAAAAAATGATAAAACATAAGAAGCGCAATAAAAATAATAATCGCTTTAAAATAAAATCTGGGCTACTTCTAGTATCACAAAGAGCGTAGCAAGGATTGAAATAAATAACATTTTATAAGATACCGGAACAAAATGAACAGAATCAATTCAAACTAATAATATTTTCATTCGTTGCTAAAAAATTGCCAAAGAAAAAAATTTGTTACTCTACAAGTTTTTTTTAAAAATGATGTTCCGTTAGAAGATTAAGTTAGTAGAACAATATACATGTAACAGTGAAATTGTACACAACAATACGTAAGAATTTGTTAATTTGTTGCTCATAAAATACACTACATCGTTAAATATCACGAAGCAAGGATAGTTTAATTTCCTAAATTAGTAACATTTTATTTTTAATTTTCATGTGTGTCAGAATGTAAATCAATTCATTTCTGTGGTTGAATTACTTAGTTTCAAAATAAACCACATCCACATTGACATAAAACTCAGTAAATAACAATCTAAATTTGAGATTAAATTTAATATATTTTTTTTTAGTTAAAATTGTTTTAATTAAATTATCGACATTGAGTAGAAACAGCGACGACCTACAGAAATGATTAAAAATAATTTAAATTAGGTATAATTTGACATTATGATTTTAATATTCAAATCCATGTGTGTAAAAAGTGACTGTATGTGTACGATTGGTTTTCCATGTAAAAGTAACACATTATATTGCATACAGAAATTAATTTATACATTTAAACACAGAAAGAATTTTTTCTTAGAGTTTACACTAAAAATATGATAATCGTGGGACAACATTGTATTTGGAGGAATTTTAATGTAAATCTCATTCATTAATAAAACTACAATAAAATATAAAAGTGCATAATAAAAATCTTCAAAATATTATATAATATTATACCACAACTATATATTTTCAGAATAAATTTTAAAAGAAAATTATCTCCGTGAACGTATAACATAGTCACTTTTGCACTAATCACGCACATACGTATATTGTATTTATTTTTTACCCACTTGAATTTGCATCGAACAATGTGATCCCGATGCATCAAACGTCTCCCTCGTTCGAGTTTTAATATTTTGTGTCTTACCGAACTCTCAGTTTCACGGAATTGGCAATTTTGGAACGTCCTGTATAGGTGTCGGTACTCAGTTATATC